CCGAATGTTCCTGAGTTATGGAGTATTATTTTATGAAAATATCATGATTGTCCTTATTCTATGTATCATGGTGGTGTTAAGATGTATCGAAATCTCAGAGAATGGTACTACTAGTATGGTTTAAAAAATGTCACTAATTATGTGGCAAAGTGTATGACCTATCAACAAGTAAACGTTAACCATCAATTTTTGTCTAGTTTACTTTAACTCATTCAGATTTCTGAGTGGAAATGGGAGCGAGTAACTATGGATTTTGTCAGTAGATTACCTTTGACGCAATTTAAGAAGGATTTGGTATGAGTTATTGTTGATCATCACACTAAGTATGCTCTCTTCATTCCAGTTCAGACTAATTATACTTTGGACAGATTGGCTCGATTGTATATTTATAAGATTGTTCGTCTACATGAGGTTTATTTGTCTATTATTTTTATCAAGATCCTAGTTTGCGTCACATTTCTAAAAGGCTCATTATGAGGCTCTAGGTACCTGATTAAATTTTAGTACAACTTATCACTCCCAATCTGATGTTCAGTTTGAGCGGGTTATTCATATTATAGAGGATATGTTGAGCACGTGCATAATAAATTTTTGAGGCAGTTGGGAGGATCACTTAACATTGGTTGAGTTTACCTATAACAACACCTATCATATCAATATTCATATGATATCGTACAAGGCCTTGTATGGTCATAGGTTTCATACTTCCTTATGTTAAAATGAGTTATCAAATAGGAGGGTTGTAGGACCCGATCTTATTTAGGACTATAGGGGCATAATTAGGTTGATTTGAGACATGCTTAAGGTTGATTTCGATAGGCAAAAGTCTTATGTTGATTTGAAGAGAAGTGGTATTGAATTCAGTGTAGGTGACCGAGTCTTTCTAAAAGTATCACCATGGAAGAAGGATCTCAAGTTTGGTAGTAAAGGCAAGTTGAGTTCGAGGCTTATTGTACCTTGTCAGATTATGTGTCGTGTTGGACCAGTTGCGTATTAGCTTGAGTTACCACTTGAGCTTAATCATATTCATGATATCTTTCACGTCTCTATGTTGAGACGCTACATTCTGGTCTGTATCATGTTATTTCTATTGAGAATAAAGTTAAGACCTGATCTTAGTTATGTTGAGGAGTCTATTTTGATTCTTGCATATAAGGTTCGAGTTATGAGAAGTTGTCCTATACTGATTGTCAAGGTTCTATGGAGAGGCCACTTGGAAGACGAAACAGTATATGGAAGTGGAATTCTACCATCTGTTGTCATCAAGTAAATTTTCAAGGCTAAAAGTTTCTTAGGGGGAGAGTTGTCGTATCCCATATTCTGGGATAAATTGAATTTTTTTTAAATTCAATGTTTTTGCGAGAGGATCCAAAAAGTGAGGTCTTATTGTATAATTTACCCAAAATTTTATATTAACTTGAAAACTAAATCCCCTTTTAGCTTCTTTATTTTCTCTAGTTCGTGCAAACTTCCCTCAGCGTCGTTTTAGTTTTCTCCAAAAAACTTCATTGTCGATCTTGATTGGTTCAATTTTAGTCGTCTTTTAGTTATCCATATAGTATATCGCTAGAACCCTATTATTCTTTGTGTCATTTTTATTCGTTCAATGGTTTCGATCTTTCCATCATACTCGACGTTAGCATTTTTTAGAGGAAGAAAAGTTTCGAGTTTGATTAAAAATATCACATTTGATGTTCTTTTCCATAAATCATCCCTTGTAAGTAACTCATCATGCTTTAAAATATATTTAAAATTTTTTGGTAACTTTTCAGCCGCCGTAGAATGCCCCATATACTCCTACGTGTCGCCATTCGTGTGTTAGTCTGTCTCCAAACCTGAATCGATCCAATCTTGAATCAATCAAACCAGTTGACCGAACCATTTATCAAATTAGTCCACTGACCGAACCAGATTATTAATTTAATCAAATCAGACTGTTGATCGAACCATTGACTAAATAGAACCGTTGATTGAACCAAAAACAAAAAGTACTATTAATTGAACCGAATCGTTGACATTGACCGTTAAATGTTTACTTTGATTGTTAACCATTGACTTTTTTCTATAGTCCCCTACATTTATGTTTTTTGACATCCTGAGTTCGTTTATGTAGTTCTTTTTGTCAAATTTTGACTCGAAAGACCGTTGACTTTGGACTCTCTTAAAGCCCTATTCAACTTAGTTTGATTTTGCAAGTTCATCTCGAGATACGCTTAAGTGTTATTTAGTATCTTAATACTTTGTTTCTGGTTAGATAAATGATTTTCGTACTTATATAGTAGTGTGTTATGATCAAGTTCCCAATCCGCAGGACCTAGTACTACTGATCGTGGGAAACGTAGGGATTAGCTGGAACTGATTAACTACTATAGGTGTGTTCCCTTGACCTATTCGATACATTTAATATTTTGTGCTATTATTTGTATGTTGTTATTTGTATTCATGTTCGTAATCTGATTATATTTATCCATAATATGTCTGAATTTTTAGAAATGTTGTATCACTATTAATTAATTTATTGATGCATTTCTATCATTTGTATGAGACCCTCTACGGAAGACAATATCCTCATCGTGTTTCTACATGAGATTTTATTCCCGTCATGTTTCTTCATGGGATTTTATCCTTGTCCTGTTTCTATATGAGATCATATATTCGCCTTGTTTCTGTTTAGGATCCTCTTCGAATGGCTATATCCATATCATGATTTTTGTATTCTAATTAGGGTACCTCTTCAAAGGGTAACGTCCACATCCTATTTTTCCTCAGCAAAAGATAGCGTTGTATGAAATTTATGTTGTAATATTCATGTAGTGAATTGTTAATTTATTATTGTTTGTGTTAGATTTACTCATCATATCATGTTTGAAGTATTTAATACTTGTTATTAATATACATATATTATTGTATATGACACACTGTGCTTAGTGGCTCAATTTTCAATTTTTTTCTTTTAGATTCTTTTAACCTTTAAAACTATGACCGTTACGTGGAGGATCGGTTAGTAGCATGTTTTCTTTCAGACCCCGTATGGACATTTTTAGATTTTACATTATTTATTTTCTGTTACTTTAAATATATTTATATGGGAATATGGGATATTATGTTTTCACATGTTTTAGACTTTAAACTCATATTATAGTATGTATTATGAACTCCTATTTTTGTTTACGATTTATACCAATTTCTTGGTGATGCATGTTATAACTAAAATTTCATGATTTTGTTAATCTGAATTAGTGATATCTCTGAGATTCAGTCGTAATGTCCAGGTCGGGTTAAAGGGGTTACATAACCAAAAGGAACTAATCACTTGATTTTATTTTTGACAACCTAATAATTAAAAGCCTTGGATTAAACTTTGAATTCATTTATATCTACAAAATTTCTCAAAATAAATTATTAGTGTGATAATAAAATCCATAGTAGTTCCAAAACACAATCAATAATTATTATAACATTTAATAATAATTATAAATACCAATGATATTCTTTATTCATTCATATTTAATATTATATATTAAAAGGCTAAAAATAATTATAAGGTAATAATATCATACCCTTAATTTCATGAACAATATCATGATAAACTTTTTTGGGTGAAATCATACCATAATGATATTACCAAATATACCATAATATAAAAAAAATCATATTAATTCTTTAACTGCCCCACAGCAACAACCACGTATGGAAATTTTTTTCTTTCTAAGCAAAGAATCACATTGATTCTTTATTAAAAAATCAACATTCTGAAAAATCAGTAACCAACGTTACTTTAATGATAATTTCTATTTAAATAAATTTGTTCACTTTGAGCAAACTCGTTAAAACGACAGGATAAATCCTGAAAACGAATTAATTTGATTTTCACGATTTCTCAAAGATTTCTCAAAGATTTCTAAAACGTCTTGAATTTCTTTCCATAAAGGTAGAAGATAGAGTTTATCTTAAGATTTTTAGAAGTATAACAATCTAAGACAATAAAATAAAATAAGAATACTTTTATTAAATAATCAGAAAGAACAATTAAAAATAAAAACCCAATTTTTGACATATTAACATATTGGATACAAGTTGAGGTCTGCATCTACACAGTTTCCTTAAAACAGTTTTTTTGTCACTTCTATGGTGTTTGAGATCATTGGTCGTCTGTCTCCTATTAACAACTAGATGATCAATTATAGTTGCACTTCTGCATAGATCACGAACTATTCTCTTGCCTTCATCTATCAAAAAAATAGAGAAGAAGAAAATAATTCTTTTGAATTATTTTTGAATAACAAGTTTACATGGTATTTATAGAGGTTTTACATAATAAATTATTAAAAAAAATTACTAACGAAGCATTTAATAAAAGAGAATCAATAACCATAACAAGTAATTTCCAAAATTATTGTTTGAATTAAATAAATCTTTTAATATTTATCATTTTAATTCCAAAATAAAATTTTGAAAATACATACTTTATTTGAGGAAAATATTTTACATTTGGGTTAAAATATCTGCAAGCGTACGGCCGATTTAGATATCCACGTTACCCATATCATGTACATCGATACATATACGAATCAACAATTGATTTCATATTTTCCTCAACAACATTCGGATCAATTTCTCATTCAAAGCTCCAAAATTGTCAATTTTTTCCAACACTTACTGCTAATACAAAAGCTTAAAATAAAATTTGACCTAAATCTTAACATCTCGAACATCTTCTCATATTCTATGCTATGACCAAACAAGTGACATATATATTACAACACTGGGAATCCCTTTTTCTTGACAAATTCATATCATGAAGTACGTACTAATATAATATCCAATACAACTTAACCACTTAATATACTTCTGTTTGTAATCAGTTAGAAATAGCTGCGAAATCATTGCATCTCTTTCCTTTTTAATAATTTCTTTGTCCGAAGGAAGAAAAATATGTAAAACGAGAGAAACTTGTACTATAATTATAAAACTGCAATCTATTCATAGTCAATCTATTCATCTATATGTAGAAATCTTAGGGAAAATATCAAAGGAAGACGAAAATAATGCTAGGGTTTCTTCTATTGTTCCTGGCGAGGTCGAGCCAACCAGAGAGAGCTGAGAGCTCTTAGGCGATGAAAGTACTCAGCAATGGCCAGCAAACACCTTGCAGCTTGACGGGTCGTCAGTATCTGATGCAGCCGATGGATTGTTTGGTGCCTCAGATTATCTGCCTATTCAAACCAAAATATTGAAATTATTGTATAGTAAAGGAAAGCAAAAGTGTTTTATATCAACACAAAATAGAAGACGAAAGATGCAAATTAAAAAAAATGAAACATGAATAAGCTTTATCTAGTTATAACATCTAATTCCCACAATCAGCAAGTTTTTCTTAACTTTATTAGGGCAAGTGTTATATCTTAGGAGATACCCTCCATAAATAGTATCTCCAGCTACGAATTCAACCGGAACCCCATACTCCTTGGACGTTTATAATGCATAGATAATACTTTTAATCGACCCACATGATTTACTAAAACGAAATCTAAGATCTGACAATCAGATCTATCTAACCTATTAGCATACAAATAACTATAGGATTCCAGGTAAGGTCACTATAGATACCCCTCCACCACAATTGAGAAGGGGATCATGACCACTTTCATCTTCCTAATTCATTCATCTCTTTCATCGAAAAACATCGATCAACGACTATTATCTCACCGATCTCAACTCTCCACCCAAATAAAAAGAAATGAATTGACAATGACCGACGAGATGATATTATTCCCATCAATAATATCTCCCACTAACAATAAGTTAAATCAATAATGGTGAAGAAAACCTAGTTGGAAGAGACGATCTTTTTAAGTCCAACGGTTATGACCATGACATCACAAACATAAGGACATGATGATATATGTGCATTATTTAAGGGAGAACCCCTTAGCATGTGACACTACAGTACTGAAAATGCAAATATTCTTAAGCTTGGGTGGTATAATTAGTAATCATGATGAAGTTGGGGTACCTGTCTAACGAAACCTTCGAGGGTGGAAAGCTTGTTGATGGCGATGGCCATTTGGCCCATGTAGTTAGTCATATTAGGAGGGCAGCTGAGTGAATCAGATGTTATAATATCAGAAAGAGAGTGATTCAAAGCGTCCAAGCCTTGTGATAGAGCCTCCTCGGCTTCCTGTGTGGATTGCTGCAACCCACATATGCCCATTATCTGCTGCTCCGTCAATGGCTCAATCTGGTTCACTATGACCTGAAAAACAAAGGCACCAACACCTTTAGCATTATGTTGCTTTCTTTATGAGCAAGAAACAAGAAGATGCATGCATGGTTTCCGTGAAGGAGAAGACAAAGAAAGAAGAGTGGAGAAGCGTGCAGTTCTCTCTCTTTTCGATTGCCACAAATTGTAGTTAACAGACATATAGCTTTATCAAAAGAACAACTGCCCTAATCCTTTTTTGAGAAAGACCTTCTCTTCACCTTTCGTCATTCAATTTTTTACCCTTTTTATATATCTTTTGATTACCCACATATGTGTGCATAAGATATATACTTTCCTTTGTCATTGCCTGTGCCACCCAACAAGTTGCACTCATGTAGCTAAAACGTACTATTTGCCTCTTACCTTGCCTCCATATACATTTGAACATTATCTTTAATATTTGATGCTTAAACATGTAACTGACAGCTTTTAACACTCCATTAACTCATACTATCATTATATTTAAACAATCTAACTTCAATATTATCCAGAAAATCTAAATTAAAATTCTGATAGCTTCTTAAAAAAAGGATTGATATTTGTTTTATTTGGGGGAAAAAGTTCCATACCATATGTATTCCACCGTCACATACGGTGTCTTATTTGCATTTTTTTCATTAATTTATTCCAAAATAAGAGATAAATAAAACTTTTCGATAGGATACATTTGTTTTAAATATTTTAAACATAAACATAAATATAAATAATTTTATTTTTTTAACAGATAAACAATTTTATTTAGAATGTTTGTCTCATTAATAAAGTGATACACTGTAGGGTATATAACAAATATTAATACAATTTTTTTTGGTATATAATACATCTTTTACTATCCTTAATTATACCAACAACTTTTTTTTTATGGAAAAAAAAGTTAAGTGATGGAACACGAACTTAAGCGATGAAAATCAAAATGCAACTCATCAATATTTCTTGAATTTTTGCAAATTAGTATATTATATTGATGACAACGAGAATAAAATTGTAGGGGAGAAGGAATCTGATCTTTAATTATTAAATATAATTAGCTTTTAAGCCTTTTTTTAACTTGTAACTTGTATAATTTGGTTTAGCAAGGATAGGGTAAAGAGTACCTTGATGAGGTCAGAAGGTCGACATCCACCAATCCACATGAAGCAGCGTTCGGCTGGAGACTTCCACATGCCGGACACAAGGTGGAACGCATCGGTTTTCGCCACCATCCCTTTTAGGTTCATCATCTCGTCGAAATGTGCTAAACAGTTGTCCACGAACATCCGCAGCTCGTTCTCCGGTAAGTGCTCCTGAACCGCCGCTTGAAGCTCGCACATCAGTCGGTGGTGCTCTTCTACCCATCGTGCGTACTCCATGTCAAACACTGAAGCGTCTGCAACATCAAACAAAACTCCACTTTATTATACACAAACTGAATCACATACTCATATATGTATTTGAGAGAGTTGAGAAAGAGAGAGATGACCTGAGCTTATGTTGTTAATACCAACAGGAAGGCCTTGCTCTCCTGCTAAGATATTACCACCCCCAAAAAACATGCCCTAAACAGTAAAAACACAAGATTTCATTCATATACACGTATAGAATCATAGAATCATGGGGGGGGGGGTTCATAAGAAAGGAGATTAAGGGGAATGGTCACCTGAGTTCTGGCTCTATGAAGCTCTTGTTCCAGTTGTGTAAGCCTAATCCTACTTGATTCTAATTGCTGAACATAAGCCTTTTTTCTCAGCCTGCTTTTCCTTGCTGCCTCTCTATTCTGAGCAAGTCTTCTCAATGTCTGTTCCAAAATGACTCCCAAATATCACATATTGATCCGAAAGAAAGAACAAAGTGTCGAAGAATTTCACCTTAGGGTCTGGTGTTTTAGGTCCTTCCTGCTCTGAACTTGAAGTTGGCCCTTTTCGATTCGCCTCACGCTGCTAAATTTCGACAAAAAGAAATTCAAAACCATGGGATTTCTATATATTTCATGTATCTGTGTGAGTTTTTATTCAGAGCCAACCATACCTTGACAGCTTTAGCTGACTGATTCGGAGCAGAAGCAGAAGCATCAGTTTTGGGGTTGGCCAACTCCACGGACGGCTCTGATGGTCTCTTTGAACCAGTAGTTGATGGAGAAGCTAATCCTGTACTTGTCTACCAAATACAAAAACAAACCCACTTTGAAAATTAGTATTTAATATAGAATTCAACTCACCAGATCAATTATAAATATTACCAGGGGTTTTACTTTTGTTGATGATGATGGTGGTGGCTCAACGTGCATCGGCTGTGAAGGGAAAATGTTCAGCGTCGGCGGCCTCATCACACAGTTTTCTGCATTTAATATAATCTCACAAACATTAAGGAAAGACCCAAAAGAAAGGAAAGGGAGACAAGGACAAGAGATGTAAGAAAGAAAACATTGGGATCATCATGCATCCATTTGTAGCTTTGTTCCATCAAAACAGAAGGGGAACAAGGAGAGGAAAAGGGCAAAGAACACCCATACCCCTAAACGTACACTTGTCAGTACATGTAAAGGAATTTTCTCAAGGAATTCATGATCATGGAGGTGTCCGTTACAAGTCATGGTCCAGAGCTATACTAAAAACATAACTAATAAAAAAAGAAAATAAAAATTAGCTAGCTTTTTGGTTTGTTTCAGAGATTTGTTTCTACTAGGATCTGGTCAAAAAGAAAGTTCTGGCAGATTGAATCTGTTGAAAACATGAACATGTTTTTTCTGTGATCAAAAAGCAGAACCAGTCTGAATAAAAATCTTCATAACAGAAGATGCATAAAACGAAAAAGAGAAGAAAGAGGAAGAAAATTCCTCATGGTCTTTGAAGTAAACAGTTTTTTTTTAGAAAAAAAAAAGAAAGACAATTTGATAGATAGAGAGAACACTCACGCCTTTGGTCTTGAATAATGGAGGGTTCTTGTCCATCAAGGTAGAGAAAAAGGGCTTGATCTAATTCACCCAGATCATAAGCTCCTGTATCTTTGCTTCTGCTTATTTCCAGAAAAGAGAGTAGCTAGAGGTGAAGATGAAGAATTCTGGGTTTTGCTTTCCATACTTAATTAGATACTGTCAAAAGAAAAAAGAAAAAGGAAGAAACGTTACATGAAGTTTCCTGGAACAGAAGATGATTGCATCATTTCATAAGGAATCTGATTTTGATGATGATGTTGATTATGCTCTTGTATTTGCTGCTGTTGATTTTGATGATGGTGGTTGTGATGGTTTTGTTGTAGTTGGATGGAGTGGTTCATGTTGCCTCTACCGGTAGCCATGAAAATAACAACAACGCCAACCAAAGCAAGCTAAGCTTCTTCTTCCTCTTGCCCTTTTTGTTCTACTTGACGAAAACTCGTTTGAATCCACCATTAATGGCAAAACCACCTTCCTTTTATTCCTTTGCAAATCATTTTTTCTCCACCATCAGCTCAATAGTCATCAAGTGAGAAAGAAAGAGAGTCGGTTATAATTTGAAAAATACTGAAGAATCTTTTTCTTATCATAGAAATGAGAGAGTCAGAGAAGAAAAATACTAATGAATGCATATACACAATGGAACAACCCCTTTTTCTCTCTCATCGATTTTTTTTAATATGTTATTTCTTTTTACAAGCCCGACTTTTCAGATAAAGCGGTTTTAAGATATCCTCTTCGAAATCAGAGAAGACCAGTTTTAATATATATATATATATATATAGAAATCGGTTAGTTTTATTAAAATTAAAAAAATATTTAAAATTATAATAAATATTTATAAGCATAATCTAAATTATAATTAGGACATTTTATTATAACTATTGAAACAAAAATTAGTCACTTAAATTATACAAAGACCAAAAAATAAGAGAAAATATTAAAAAGGGTATGAAACTATTAAAGACTACCGAAAAATCGTAAATCAGAATCAAGCGACGTGAGAAAACTATCAACCAATGTAAAACGCGTATTCAAATCAATCAGATGGTCCAAAGCAAGAAAGATCAGCATGATAACAAATAAGTGTCATCTTGATCAGTCGTTGCGATTGCAAATCTAATCCTAAGAAAAAAGAAAGACGAAAGCAACGGCAAAAAGGTCGTAAGCTACTAAAAGACAAAGAAAAATGTGTCACAAAGGCAGAGAAAAATATGTCACAAAGGCAGAGAAAAATGTGCTACTAAAAGGAAGAGAACATGTCACAAAGACATCAATATTCTTATTAAAAAATTAAAAAGAAAACAAATAAAAAAAGACAATAGACAACAACCAACATCAAAATCAGTGTCATCGTCGGTTAAACAAAATTATAAAAGAAAATATTAGATCGATCAATAAAATTAACGTAAGTTGCAAAAAGGAAAAAAAGAAAGAGGAGGAATAAGTTTTTAAATATATATTAGATTTTATAATAACCTAGATAATAAAACATTTATTTAACAATTAAATGTCGATGGATCAGTAAAGAATTTATAAAATAATTAAATATCAGTTAAATTTTAGTTTAAAATTATACAACTGTGTGAGAATGTAATGATATTATATAAGGATACTTATTATCATTTGAAAAAAAAATATTTTAATATTTTATAAATTGAAATTATGTTAATTTGACTTGCGATACAAATAACTTAAAAGATTTTTTTGGGTATAGATATTCTGTATAGGGTCATTTATATTTTATTTGTTGACCGATTAATTTAAATTGAATTTTGTAAAGATTTATTATTGAGATGATTATTGATGATAATTTTATTTTAATTTGATGAGTTCCTATTCGACTTGACCCGATCAGTTTGATTTTTATATTTAAAATTCATATTCAATTTGAGTTGGGTCAAGTTTTTTAGGTCTGAATGGATCGAGTTAGATTAATAGATAGATTGAAGAATTAGATCTGACCTTACATAATATTATGATTATCTTGTATATATTTAGAGACAATTACAATGATACTCATTTCTATTTTATTTTTCAATTAAGTTCTTTTTTGTATAATAAAAATGAATATATATTTATATATTTAAGTCGTGTTGTATCGGGCGTTTTTTCCAAAAAAATCACCTTTTCCAAGTAATATTCCCGATCAGGCACTGTTAAGACTATATTTCCCGATCTAACACCCTTTGCAGAAAGGCGCGCCCTATGCAGAACGCTTTATGTTGATTTGGTGCCACGTGGGGTAAGGCGTGCCCCCTACAACAATTAGTTTAATATTTTTTCAAATAATCATAATAAACAATAAGTATAATAAAAAATTATCACAAAATTACCTTATAACGAAAAATCGCATGAACTTCTGAATCAAATATGAGAAGATTGTCAGATTGTTGTATTAATTTTTTTCTGTTGAGAGGAGATGTGAGGAGTTACCGGGGGAAATGATATTTATAGCCAGAAAAACCTACAATACACGGTACATGCACTGCGCCTTACATAATTATATCAGATAAAGCTAAGACGCGGCCCCTGGTCCGCGCCTAATATAATTGTGTCAAAATTAAAGGTAATGTGCCCTGCCCCACGCTATACTCCTACGTGGCCTAAGGCGCGCTCCAGGGGCTGTGCTTTACACACGTATATCCCATGTCAGCATAAGGCGCGTCTTAGGGGGCACTTTACCCCACGTGATGCCAAATTAACATACAACACGCTTAAGGGGGCGTCTTTCTACAAAGGGTGTTAGATAAATATAGTTTGAACGGTGCCGATCGAAAATATTAAATGTGAAAGGTGATTTTTCAGAAAAAACGCCATTGTATCGGGTCGAGTACATGTTTTAACTTTAAAAATTAAGTCAAAGTTGGATGAGACCCTCCTAAATCCAGTTCGAGTTGGGTGTAGACGAGAAGTTTCAATTTTCAAATCAGATCCGAATACGACAAAAAACTAACCTGACCAGACTTGTTATCATCCCTAGAGACAATCCTCCTGAATTACTTTCTTATATTCATAACGTCAAAATTTTGAATTATTAAATTTTACTTAAAGAACCTACATATCGCACTAAATTAACTATTAATTTTATATATAAATAATGATTTGATAAAAATACTTTAATATTATTATTTATTTTTAAGGACGATTATTTAATACCTTTTTAATAAAAGAATAATAAAAAATTTGAAGTAATGATAAGTTATTTATTTTATTACATTTTATATTTTTAAATATATGTAAAATATATATTTATTATTGTTATTGTTTGAAGAATATATGTGCCTTTTTTTTTTCTTTTACTTGTACACACTGTATAAAAGTATAGTATTTTCTTTAATGAAAAATCGCTTGACGTTTCCTATGATGGAGTTTCCTGGTAATTCAATTTAAAGGACAATAATACCCTTACGGAAAAGCATGTTTTCTATTGACATTTTCATGCAAACTTACACGTAGTCGTTGTGGCGGCGGCTCTCCTCTGCTTCAAAGGACAACAAATGCCGTTTCGTGCCTTATTTTTCTTTTCAGCCTTACCGTTTTACATTTTATTTTATTTTTGAAAAGTTATTTCATTTGACGAAACATAAATCCAAAGTTTAATTTATTTAGTATTCGATTGGTTTAATGAGATGAAATAATAAATCTCTTAAATAAGATTAAAAATAATTTTTTCAGAAATTATTTAATTTCTAATGCATAACTTTTAACTTTATAATTTGATTTGAAAAGTAACGAAGAATTAACCCTTACCCAATTTATAATGCATAACTTTACATATTATTAGGGAATCATATTATATATGATTAATTTATTTTTGAAAATTAATTCAAATTACTTCTTTCTTAATAATAATAGTTTGCCATCACAAGGCATCACAAGATCTATCAACTTTGGCGACAATTACTAACCACATTAATAACAAGAAGATTAATTAAAGAGTATCCCTTAAAGCTTTGAATATTATATATTTATATAATTAAATGAGAACTAAGATTCTATTAGGGACGTTCTTTGAAATTAACATATATATAGTGATATTTCCATTTTTTTTAAATATAAAAAGAATTATCAGTTAATATCATAAATTTGTTAGACGTTGTTCTTTATCAATTAATAAAGGAGAATATTATTCTTTGTATAAAGTATAAATTTAAACAGACATGTCTACCATATTTATGTGCGTTTAGATTAAAAATGTTATAAAAAAAAATACTATCTACATATACTTTTTTTTATTTTTCTATAAAGAATTTAATATCCGATTGAGAACAAGTGTGGATAGCTGTTCATTGAATTCGACTTCCAAGATTTTGAATGTTGAAACAGAGTAATAATGATGTGCAGCAAATAAAATTCCTTTTCTTTTTCAATATCAAGACTTTAGGGTGGTATAACGTTGACAAACATTTCAAACCCTATTTCTTTTTTTGAATGAAAGGAGATGCTCCAAAGCTAAGCCTCACCTGGCAATCATCCTGCATTATAGCCAGAACCTCAGTCGGCGGAGTCGCGAAAACCTTCAAGCCATACTGCCAACCCCAAGCAAGCTTCGCCATGTGATCGGCCGCTTGATTACCTTCCCGGACGACGTGAACAAATTGCAGTCGCCAGCTACGTGCCATGCACTCCACCAGATGCGGAACCAACGAGGATACCCTCTCCATAGCTGCACCTTGCTGAAGCAAACGCCAAGCGTCTCTACTGTCCAGTTCAACGATAACCTCCCTCAAACCACAGTCCCATGCCAGTAACAGCCCATCCAGCACACCCCACAACTCAGCCTCGAGCACTGAACAAGCTCCAATATTCCTCGCAAACCCACCAATCCAAGCACCCTCAGCGTTTCGAATTATCCCTCCACAAACACCCTATTTCTTCTATTATTTTCTTTGTCATCATGATACTCTAATCCTGTTCAAGGAAGAAAAATCTCTCTGTACTCCCTGCACTCCACATTAGAGTCAAACTCCTTAAATTCAATAGGTCAAAGCTAGTTTATGAAGGTTCAATGAGTTCAAAATATGAAATGATTTTTTATTATTAAATATGTATTCTTTTTAATAATTTAAGATAATTAAAAAGTAGTATTTGTTAGGAATTATTTTAACTTATTGACAATACGTACACACCTTATAGACGGAACTGTTTGAACTCACGACTTCTAGAGAAAACTACATTTATTTCTATCATTAAAGTCACTTGATGAATTATATATATATCATGTGGATTATTGTCTTATGTGAATTGCATTTTTTTCTTAGATAAACATTTAAAATAGGCTAAATACAAAAATTAGTGCCTAAACTATATTTAAAAATTAGTTTTGTTAAAAAATAGGTGTCTAATGTTTTATTTGTTACATTTTTATGTGTCTATCGTTAAAAAAAACCGTTAAGTAACATGTGCTAGGTTTATATATTTTTTAAATTTTTGTAAAATAAAATATTATTCATTTATTTTAAAAAAAATATGAACGTGATA